CGCGGAGCCCGCCCCGCCGCGCACGGAGCCGCCGCTTCCAGCCCAGGGGGCCTCACGCCCGCCACAGACAAAAACACCAACCCACAAAAATTGCCGTTTCAACAAACTTCAGAAGCTGCTGATTCAAGGAGAAAAACCTCCCAGAAACTCGGAACGACAAGCACCTCCGGAGCGTCGACTGAGTGCGCAGCGAGGTCGCAGCCGCGGCGGCTCCGCGCACCAGGCCGGAGGGCCGCACCGGGGCAGCGCGCGCGCGGGCTAGACGCGGTCAGCCCCGAGGCCATCGCCTCCGGGCCAGGGCGGCGCGCTCCAGAGCGCCCACTGAGAAGGGGGCGACCCTAGGCCAGAACCTGCGACTTTAGATCCTGGACCCTCACCCCCCAGTGTCCAGCCCGGGGCCGGGTGGGGTCCGCGAGCAAAGCCCGCGCGGCGGGAAAGGCGCGCGCGCCCGCGGCAAAACGCGCACGCGCACCCGGGACAGCAGTATAACTACGCACGCGCAAGCTCGGCGCCGGACGGGGCGCGCGGGGAGACATCCGGGCGCGCGGGAAAGGGCGCATGCGTGTAGAGCGGACGGGAAGCGGGAAGGGCCTGGCGGCGCGGTAACAAATCGAACGAATAGAGTCGGGAACCCCGGGAGGGGGTGCGGGGCAGCGTGCGCTCAGGAGTGTAAGAGTACAGGCCTAGAGTGCGCCGGTTTGGGTAAGCGGAAATGAGCGCGGAGCAAGGGCGCGGTTCCTCCGCCCAGAGCTCCCGCGGACGCCACGCGGACAGGAGGCCCAACGCGCGCAATAGCCCTGGCGACGAGGGGTGGAAGCGGCAGGGCAGATTGGGTGGCAGCCTGGGCAAGACTGTAACGCGGAGGTGGGGTAGCGAGTGCAGGGTAACTCACCCGTCCATGGCACACAGAGCAGACCCGCGGGGGAAGGAGTGGAGGCGCCGGAATAGCAGGAACCGACTCAACGGCTCCGAGTTATAGACTCACAAGATGGCGGAGACGCCCGCACACGTCCCCCGCGCGCGCTACCCATTGGCTCCAGCCGTGGCGGGGGGCGGAGCCAGTTCTGTGACCCGCCTCCATAATTTCTCAATGGCCTAGAGGCTGCCGTTGAGGTGTGGTCAGGAAGGAGGACTCACGCCTATTGGAGGAAGTGGCCATCCATCATAGCGGAAGGGGAAAACGGCCCGTGAAGCAAGGAGTGGTTGCGAAACCGTGGGGGCATGTGATGACATGTAAACCAATGAGCGAGCCGCCGTCAGGCGTGGGACTTCGAGGAAGAAGCCATCTTGAGAGTGGGTACGTGGCGAGTCAGGCGGAGAGAAGCATGCTTGCCCTCCGGCTGCCGCCATCTTGCAAGCGGGCAGGGGCCATCCGCCTGCGGCTTGAGGGCAAAAGGAGCTGTGTTGCCATCTTGAAATAGGGCAGGAAACAGGCCGCGCTCCATCTTGTTTGTGGGCATTGGGCCAAAACGGCGGATTCAAAGTGAGCCTTTGCTCCTGGATTAGTGCTTGGGAAATGGAGCCCTGGAATGGGGAGTACTAAGGAACGCAACGAGATCCAGGGTCACCCTAGAACGTCCTTTGTCCACTCCAGAGCAGCCAAGCCCAACTGCTAGTACAGAAATGGGGAAACTGAGGTTCAGGTTATAAGGTGAATGCCCTCTCTCTCTGCAGATAGGAAAACTAAGCGAATTAAGTGAATGGCTGCTCGGCATACAGTTGAAGCCTGAGCCAGCCGCACAGTGGACAGCCACTCACACACATAGGGAAACAGGCTCGGGCACAGAGTGAACAAGAGCACAATCCCACTGTCGGAAGCTGGTCGTGGTGGAGCACACCTGTAATCCCAGCACTCGGGAGGCTGAGGCAGGAGGATCGTTGTGAGTTTGACACTAGCCTGGACTACAAAGTGAGCTCAAGGCCAGCCTGAACTGCATAGGAGACCCTGTCTCAGAAAGACAAAGAAAAAAAAATTAAAATTATAAAAACAAAAAAGAATCGCACACTCCTGGGCCTCTGCCCAGTGGGTTATCCACTCCCAATGTTCCTGGACCCTAATCTGGGGCCCAGCTGCAGGAGGAGACATTGGGCCTGTGAGTATATGCTCAGTAAATAGGGGAAATTATCCGGATTCTTGTGTCCCTGCTGGAAAAAGTATTGCAGTCCGGCACCAACACAGAGGAAGAAGGCAGGCGTGCTTTCCCTGCAAGGTGAGGCCGGGCTGCCTCGGGAGTCCTGGCAGACACCCTGGTCTGGCAAGGGCCTGGCGGAGGCCCAGCAGCCTCGGATTCCCAGCAGGCCGGGTGCCAGGGATTCCAGCCGGATTAGGAACTGCTGCTGATTTCCACGGAGTCCTGTCTCACAGCCAACCAGCAGGCATCTGAAGGCCCGGAACCGCTAATCAGGAATGTCCTGGTGGATTTAGGAGAAGCCCAGTGCACGCCCATGGATTTGCACGCTCCGGGATGCTTGTCCTTGTCCACTGCACGGCTGATGCAGGGATGGGCCGCACCTTTGGAGCCGACAGGCTGGGGCAAGGGAACTCAGGTGGCCGCTGAAGTGGGTGGAAATGGCCAGGCTCTGAGCACAGGTCCAGACCCACATCTGATCGCAAGATTGCATAGGCCTCCTCAGCCTCCAAGAGTGCTGGGATTCCAGGCCACAGCCACATTGCCTGGTTTCTGACCGCCTGTGCAGTCAGGCTGACTTCCGGTGCATAGCTGTTCCTTCTAGAAGGTTCTTCCTTGAACCTGCCTATAATCGCACCCTGTCCCAGAGCTTTGCATGGCCATCCCCTCTGGGAGAGTCCTCCATACACCTGTTGATAGCCCTCCTTGTTGCCAGGTGGGGGGGTCACAGGCAGCTGAGAGTACTTTTGGAGGGAGGTGGCTTGCTTCCGTTCAGCCTCAGGGTCACACTTTTGCATCCCAGGCAAACCCCGGAGCACCCATCCAAAGCAGAATTAAGATAAAACTGCAAAGGCCAGGCATGGTGGCACACGCCTGTAATCCCAGCATTTGGGAGGTTGAGGCAGGAGGATTGCCAAGATTTCAAGGCCTTGGACTGCATAGTAAAACTGTCTCAAAAAAAAAAAAAAAAAAAAAAAAAAAAAAACTACCAACCAAACAAACAAAACAACAAAACTACAAGACTCTTGTACCAGGTGTAGTGGTGCACACCTGTAATCCCATCACTTAGGAGGCTGAGGCAGGAGGATCGCTTGAAATTTAATCCCAAACTGAACTACACAGTGAGATGCTGGCTCAAAAAAAACAAAATAAAATAAAAGCCAGAAAAGCCCTTTGTCACTGCAGCTGGGTCCTGGGCTGGGCTGGCCTTACAGGAGCTGTACTCGGCACCACTGACAGAGGGGCTGTGCCTGCTTGGAAACAGTGTAGGAAGAAGCCTGCAGGCGCTGCGCACCTGACTTACTCAGCAAGTAGGGCCACTTTGTGTCTGTTCTGCTTCGGCTCCTGCCCTGGCCTCACCAGCTGCTCCTTCATTAATGATTTAGAGGAGCGGGCTGAGCCCACCTTGCCTTTGTGTGAGAGGCACAATGGCTGCCTTGTCCCTGAGGAAAACGATCCTCCCGATAGTGTGGCCCTGAGGGAGGGTGGAGGGGGCCCAAGGCTCTCGGAACAGCCAAGCCCAGCCTGGCCTCTGCTACTCTTCAGGTCGGACCAGGGGAGGCCATGGCCAGACCTCAGTTTACCCCCTTTGTCAAAATTCTGGTGGAGGCAGGGCTGGGCAGCGTCTGCACACAGGGAATTTCCTGTGATTTTCACATTGAAATGGCTTCATCCTTTTAGAAATTGTGGTTTGTTTACTGCCTCCCTTTTATTTTTTTGAGACAGGGTCTCACTCTGTAGTTCAGGCTGGCCTCAAACTCTTGGAAACCCTCCAGCCTCAGCCTCCAGAGGGCTGGCGTTAAAGGCCAGCATCACCACACCTGGTGCCCCTTTGCCTTTTGTTTTGTCTTTTTGACAGTTTCACTATGCAGTTCAGGCTGGCCTTGAGCTCACTTTGTAGCCCAGACTGGCCTCGAACTCATAGTGACCCTCCTGCCTCATCCTCCCGAGTGCTGGGATGACAGGCATGAGCCACCACACCTGGCTCCCCACTTTTTAAAAACACTCTGATCAAAAATAAATAAATAAATAAATAAAAAACATAAAAACACTCTGATCCTTGGTGGTTGTTTGTTTTTCTGGTACCGGGTATTGAACCCAGGATCTTCACACTGAGCTACATCCCAAAATCATCCCAACAGTTTTTGTTTTTGTTTTAATTTTGAGACAGTGTTTTGCTAAATTACCCAGGCTGGGCTCAGATTTGAAATCTTCCTGCCTCAACCTCCCAAAGTACTGTTATTATAGGCAAGAGCCACCACCTCACCTTTCTTCATTGCCTTGATTATAAAAGCAATAGAGAGCCGGGGATTTGGCTCAGTTGCACAAGCACCTGCCTGGCAAGCACGAGGTCCTGAGGTCAATTCCCAGGACCAAAACATAAAAAATAAAAATGAAATAAAATAAAAGCAATAGAGCTGGACCCAGCCTAGAGCCTCCTGCTACCCTAACCAGATCCTAGATTGCTTCTTTTTTTTCACACTTCAATACTGGGATTGAACACAAAGTCTCCCTACTTTTAATTTTGGGACAGTACCTTACTAATTTGCTAAAAATGCCCATGTTGGGCTCAAACTCCAGATTCTTCTGCCTCAGCCTTCCAGAGTACAGGGATGACACGTAAGTACTACCACACTGGATTCTACATTTCCTGGAGTTCAGTTGGGGCAGGAATACAGCCTCAGGCATTGAAGCTGAGCCTCTGGGGGGCTCCAAAGGCAAAGCTAGGCTGGGCATGGTGGTACACACCTGTAATCCCAGCACTCAGGAGGCTGAGGCAGGAAGATTGCAATAAGTTGAGGCCAGCCTACACTACATAGCAAGACCCTATCTCAAAAAAAAAAAAATGGCAGCCAGGCATGGTGGTACATACCTGTAATCCCAGCACTGGGGAGGCTGAGGCAGGAGGATTGTTGCAAGTTGGAGACCAGCCTGGGCTACAAAGTGAGCTCAAGGACAGCCTGAACTGCATAGTGAGACCCTGTCTCAAAAAGTTACAGGGAACTGGAAGATTTAACCCACAGTGGAGCTGGACCCAACTGGGACCGACCTCTCACCAGCCCCTGGGGTCTAGCCCTGCCCATGCCATAAGGGAGTCCCCAGATCCATGCCTTGAATTGTTGAGGTCACTTCTAAAGGGTGGTCCTGTCCAAGATGGTCCCCTTCAGGCTCCAGAGGGAGTGGCCTCCCCGCCCCGGCCCCGCCCTGCGGCAGCCAGGCCAGCACTCTGATCTCACTTCCTGTTTTATTTATTTATTTATATTTGGCTTTGGTTTTGAGACCAGGGACTTACATAGTGCAGGCTGGTCTTGTAGCCCAAGCTGCCTTCAAATTCATGATGATCCTCTGCCTCAGCCTCCAATGTGCTGGGATTATAGGCGTGCACCACCACACCCAGCTCTAATTGTTTTAGGGGATATGGTGGTGCACCACTGAAATCCCAGCACGCTAGGAGGCTGAGCCAGGACAATTGCAAATTTGAGCCCAGCCTAGGCAATTCAGTGATGTGAGACCCTGTCTCAAAATAAAACTTTTGTAATAGTTGATACATTGTGTCAATTTGAGAAGTCTAGAAGTTTAAGTAACTCAGCAGTTCTGCATCCCAGGGTGTAGAGAACACCTCTTACTGCTCTAGGATGTTGTTCATTGTGTCAATTTGAGAAGTTTGGAAGTTTAACTAAGTGACTCAGCGGGGAGGCCAGGGTCCTCACTTTGTAAACATCCTGAGCCTGCACAAGAGGGCACAGGGATGGTGTGAGGGCTGCACCCATCCAAGGCCAGGTGGCCTGTATGCGTTGTAAGGGAGGAAAGGAGGCCCGCTCTTCCCCCTTTTGAGCTTGCTGCTTTTGCTGTCTCCCTCCGCCTTGAACTGTTGCCACT